GCCGTGGCCCACGCCTTGACCGAAAAGTCCAAAGTCATGACAGGGGTGGAACAGTGGCCCTATCGTGCCGTGGCCCAAGCCCTTGAAGTTATTCCCAGGACCCTCATTCAGAACTGCGGTGCTAGCACTATCCGTGTCCTCACTTCCTTGCGGGTGAGAACTTTGATCACCAGCAGTCCTGTTTGCCTGGCACTCTTATCTCTGCTTTTGCTGGAAAGGTCCTTGCGGTCCTTGTGTGGAGAGGGGTGGTGTGGCCATTGCACTGAGAATGGAAGGACGGGGAAGAGAAGGGAAAGACAGATTGTCTGTAGGAGATGAAGGAGGGGGTCAAACACGTCATAAGTCCTGAGTCTGCGTGCAAGAGATCTTAACTCTGGCCTACCTTGAATGCCCCTCTCATCTCTTGAAGGGACCGTTGGTCAGATTCTTGTAGTGAGCTTAAGCTTGCAATAAACCTTTATAGTCCAGTGTTTCTCAACCTTGACAATTTTAAGGCATGTGGACTTCAACTCCCAGAATTCCACAGCCAGCATTGCTGGCTGTGGAATTCTGGGAGTTGAAGTCTACATGCCTTAAAATTGTCAAGGTTGAGAAACTGCTTTATTACTCATTTGAACTGCCTGAATCTCCTGATTGACATTATCTTTCCAAACAGTTGTGGAAAGTATTCAGTCCCCCCCCCCCCAAATAAATAAATTTTAAATTTCTGGGAGTGAGCAAGAGGTGGGCAGGGTGTGCGATCCCAGGGTGGAGGTGAAACGGGGAGGGGGACGAGCTTTTTGCTTTGGAGGTGCTTAACTCGGTCTGTTGCTCACAGGCAAAACACACCCAAGAAGGCAGCCAGACCTGGGGTGTAAATGGAGAGACTGGAGCCTTGGCTGACATGAAGGACTTAGGCATCTGGGAGCCGCTGTCGGTCAAGTTGCAGACCTACAAGACAGCTGTTGAGGTGAGGCGAAAGCATCCGTGGCTAAGGAGTTCCTCTGGGGTGGACCAAGGCTTCTGGGGGGTGAAAGGGGGGCCAGAAGGGAAGGAAGAAGGGCTGGCCTTATCTTGCTAGCTGGGAATAACTCCCAAGTTCTTTTCCGCCACCGGTCTTCTTCTGGACTGTTAACTTGTGCCCGTTCACAGGGCTCGAAGCAATTCCTCGTAGCTGCCCCCTACCAGGGGATGCTGCGTATTCCATCCGGGCGATTGTGTCTGAGCGATGAGGCCGGTCAAGAGACGCCCTTCGCACTACCCGCCTTCCTACTCGCTCTGTGTTCTCTTTCCAGCTGTGGAGCGAGTTGAAACTTCTTTAAAAAGTTAAAATTGCAGAGGAAGTAGGGAATCCACCTGTGTGGAAAACAATGCAGACTAAACTCTTTGACAGTGGTGTGCACCATGAGGGAATGGCAGAACGCAGAGTATCCACAGAGTGTGGTCGAAACGGTCAGGATGGTGGCCCTGGCAGGGAAGTTGGATGCCTGCTTCTCTTAGGTGTGCCTAACACACCTGAAAAACAGACAAAGAGCGCCAGTCACCCTGTCAGGGTTGTCATCTCGACTTTTTGTCGCGTACAGCTAGTCCTTGGCTTACAACTGCAATTGGAAACCGAAATTGCTAGTTGTGTTGATTATTCAGCGAGTCGTGCCCGATTTTACCTTTTTCCCGTGGTGGTTAAGCAAATCACTGCAGTTGTTAAGTGAATCATAGGGTCATTGAGTGAATCTGGCTTCATTAACTTGGCTTGTCAGAAGGCGCAAATGGCGCTCACGTGACGCTGGGACAGTGCAGCTGTCGTAAATACGTGGCAGTTGCCAAGCGCCTGGATTTTGATCACATGAGCCTGGGGATGCTGCAGTGATTGGCAGGTGCAAGGATCAGTTTTCAGTCCCTGTTTTCAGCGGCATTGTAACGTTCAATGGTCGCTCAACAGATGGTTGTAAGTCAAGGACTATCCGTATCCTGCAGATTCCCCAGACTGGCAGAAGTCTTCAATCAAATCAGACTAGAGCTGGAAGGGACCTTGGAGGTCTTCTAGTCCAGCCCCCTGCCCAAGCAAGAGACCTTCTACCATTTCAGACAAGAGGCTGTCCAATCTCTTCTTAAAAACATTCTCCAGTGATGGAGCGCCCACAACTTCTGGTGGCAAGCTGTTCCACTGGTTAATCGTCCTCACTGTTAGGAAGTTTCTCCTTAATTCCAGGTTGCTTCTTGTCCTGCCTTCAGGTGCTTTGGAGGACAGCTTGACCCCCTCTTCCTTGGGGCAGCCCCTCAAATATTGGAAGACTGCTATCATGTCCCCCCTAATCCTTCTTTTCTCTAGAGTCCAGGGGTAGGCAACCTTGGCTCTTTTGTGACTCGTGGACTTCAACTCCCAGAATTCCTGAGTCAGCATGGCTGGCTCAGGAATTCTGGGTGTTGAAGTCCACAAGTCACAAAAGAGCCAAGGTTGCCTACCCCTGGTCTAGACTAACCAAACTGAATCTTGTTCTGATGAACTCTCTTAAAACTGCTTTAGTCGATGTTCTTGCATTCCCCGGTGCCTTCTAGCTAGGTTTGAATGTGGGGATGCAACTTTTGGGGGGTTATTTTCTTGTTCCTGATGTAACCCCACCTCCTCCCTCCCCAGACGGCCGTCCTCCTGCTGCGTATCGATGACATTGTTTCAGGCCACAAGAAGAAAGGCGACGATCAGAGCAAGCCGTCGGGCGCACCAGACGCGGCCCAGGAGTAAACGACTCCTTGGCACACCTGGGATGGTGGGAGGCAGAAGGAGCCCAAGTGAGCATTTCAACAGACCTGGTTCTTCGCCTCTGCAGTCAAGATGGTTGAAGCCCAAATCCCGATTGGTTTCTAGTTGGTCAAGGAGAGGAGGAAGGCGGACCGGCAGCACTGCGTTAAGCCTGTTTCTCTCGAGGAGACACGCTCCATTTCAACGTACTCTGTAGCTGCTTTGTGGCTTTATTAATAAAAAGACCCCTTCACGGTCATAGATAAATTCCTGCTTGCTTTCTCCTCCTTTCTCACACTTTGGCAAGCTGGGCGGGCGGGGTTGTCAAGGGCAGCACCAGCAGCCTCCAGCCAAGCCCAGTTACTGATCTGGCTTCAGGTACAGGCAGTCCTCGACTTAACAGTTGGTTTAGTGGCCGTTCAGGCCGTTCAAAGTTACTGCGGCACCGAAAAATGTGACTTAGGACCGTTTTTCACAGTTAACGACCTTTGCAGCATCCCCATGATCATGTGATCGAATGTCAGATGCTTGGCAGCTGGTTCATACTTAACGACCGTTGCTATGTCCCGGAGTTCACGTGATCCCTTTTGTGACCTTCTCTCAAGAAAGTCAATAGGGGAACTAGATTCACTTAACCACCGGATCACTTAACTAACCAGCTGCAGGGGTTCACTTGCCAACTGTGGCAAGAAGGTCTGTAAAATGGGCAAAATTCACTTAGCCTATTTCTCACTTAACAGAAATGTTTAAAGGTTAAGACAGAAAGAATAAGCTGGATTGTTACGGAAGGGAAGGGGTGGCTTATTGTTACGCTAGGTGCAGATGTTTACATATGAGGATGCAGGGGTCTTGCGTGCCCCTTGGCTGAAGGCCTGTTGAGTCCACCTGGGGGGGGAGTAAAGAGTAGCGGAGGGGAGAGTTGTGAAAGCGCTTAATTGTTTTCCCCAACCAGTCCTGGTTTATTGCTGAACTGCAGCTCCCTTTAACAGCCCAGTCTTTGCCAGGCTTTTGTCAAAAATGGGAATTCTAGTTGCCACGTTGAGGAAAAATGGCTTATAGTCTTTAAAGTGACCAAAGGAATCATTTTAGGAAGCCAATTTGGGGCTTTGGGAAGCCCACATTTGTCTGCCTTTAAGGGGGGGGCAAGACCCCACTTAGCAACACAAGAGTTTGGTTACCGTCGTGCAGATTGAAATTCTCCCAACAGGGTCACTTCCTCTCAGCTGTTGAAGACTGTATTCAAATCCCCCTTTTCTTGGCAGGAGGAGAATGCCCGTGCTTGGCTGGGAGAGATGGGCTTTGTAGTCCAGTTCTGGAAGGTAACAGGTGGGAAAAAGGTGGAGTGCCTCTTTCCCGGGGGTTTCTCCAAACACGCATATTGGAAATCTGGAACCCAGGGCCAAACTTTATTGGACTAGATGACCTCCAAGGTCTCTTCCATCTCTCTTATTTTGGGGGGGGGGAGGAGGAGGAGCAGAGAAAGGTTTCCTACCTGAGCAGGGGATTGGACTAGATGTCCTCCAAGGTCCCTTCCACCTCTTATTATTTTGAGGGGGGGAGGAGAAGCCGAGAAAGGTTTCCTGCCTGATCAGGGGGTTGGACTAGATGACCTCCAAGGTCCCTTCCACCTCTTATTTTGGGGAGGAGAAGCAGAGAAAGGTTTCCTGCCTGAGCAGGGGGTTGGACTAGATGTCCTCCAAGGTCCCTTCCACCTCTTATTATTTTGAGGGGGAGGAGAAGCCGAGAAAGCTTTCCTGCCTGAGCAGGGGGTTGGACTAGATGACCTCCAAGGTCCCTTCCACCTCTTATTTTGGGGAGGAGAAGCAGAGAAAGGTTTCCTGCCTGAGCAGGGGGTTGGACTAGATGTCCTCCAAGGTCCCTTCCACCTCTTATTATTTCGAGGGGAGAGGAGAAGCCGAGAAAGATTTCCTGCCTGAGCAGGGGGGTGGACTAGATGACCTCCAAGGTCCCTTCCACCTCTTATTATTTTGAGGGGGAGGAGAAGCCGAGAAAGGTTTCCTGCCTGAGCAGGGGGTTGGACTGGATGACCTCCAAGGTCCCTTCCAACCTTGTTCCATATTCTAAGCAAGGGAGAGCCCTTCTGCTTGGCTGGAAAGGGCTCCAGGGCATCTGCCGGCCGCTCCCCCTGCCCAGACCGCCGCTCGTCCTTTGCCGGGGACCCCCCTTCCCGCTCCCCGGGGCTCAAGGGCGAGGCCGGCTTTGCAGCGGCCCCTTTAAGAGAGGCCCCGCCCAGCTGGAGGGAAGCCCCGGAAGGAACGCCGGCCGGGTCACGTGACGGCGCTGTCGCAAGCCCGCAGTCGGACAACATGCTGGCGGCTGCTTGGGCCGGTCTGGCGCTCCTCTGGGCGGCGGGCGGCGGCGCGGGGGACGCGGCGGGCTACCGGAGGAGGGTAGGTGCGGGGAAGGGGGGGGATCGCCGGGTGGGCTTGTTTCCGCGGAAGGCTCGCCCGTGTGGAGCCTGCGGCCGGCTTGCGAGGCGGTGAGGTGGAAGGCAGGAAGCGGAGAAAGGCGCTCTGCCCATGCCCCGAGGCGCTCTTGCCGAGGAAGCAGGCAAGGCAGGACATCGCCGCCGCGCTCAGTCTCCTCCCGGACATTGGAAATAACAGGCAGCCCTCGCCTGGCGACGGTTCGCTTAGGGACCGTTCGCGCGGCGCTGTAAAAAGGGACCGAGGACCATTTTTTTCACCCTTAACGACCGTTTCCAGCGTCACGTGACCAAGATTCAGCTGCCTGGCAACTGGTTCGCGCTTACGACGGTGGCGGTGTCCTAAGAGCACGTGATTCTCCCCCTTTTGACAACAAGCGAAGTCAACTGGGGGAAGCCAGGCTCGAATTGAAGAACTTATCAACTGCTGGGTGATCCTCTTAACAACCGGGGCAAGCGCGGTCGTAAAACGGGGCAAAACTCACTTCACGACTGTTCTCCTTTAAGAACAGAAACTTCGGGCTCCCTTGTGGTCCGAAGTTGAGGAATACTGCTAGGATCTGTAAGACAGAAAGTGAAAGGGGTGGCTGGGACGGTTGGAAGGTTTAGGCTGGAGCGGGGTTCACGTGACCTTCACCACAGGGACTCTGAGAAGTTGGTAGAGGACAGGAAGACCTGGAGGAACGTGGTCCATGGGGTCGCGATGGGTGGGACACGACTTCGCAATTAACAACAACAACAACAATGAGAAGGAAGGACTCACTGGAGAAGAGCCTGATGCTGGGAAAGATGGAGGGCAAGAGAAGAAGGGGACGACGGAGAATGGGGTGGCTGGATGGAGTCCCTGAAGCAGCAGGCGTGAGCTTCAATGGACTCCAGAAGATGGTAGAGGACAGGAAGGCCTGGAGGAACGTGGTCCATGGGGTCGCGATGGGTGGGGCACGATTTCCCAACTAACAACAAAATGTTTGAAACTCCAAGTGCAGAGAAGAACAGTGGAACGGCCATTATTAACTCTTGAATTCTAATTCTGGCTTCTAAATCATAATAATTAAATAATAATAAATAAATAAATAATAAATATCCTCTAGAACTCCATAGCATGGAGCTCAGCTCCAGATTTTAATTTGGAATTTTTTTCCTCCTTTCTTTCTTGGTTGCTCTGGAGGGATCAAATGCAGGTTTCCTCTGTAAAATGCATTTTGATTTGGAATCAGGAGAGGAAACCCCCCAATTGTTTGTGTCCTCAGCCTTTGGAGGATAAGAAAGTGTGCGTGAGAGTTGCTTGTGTTCAGCTTCCTCTTTTCCTTTTTACTCAGAGCAGAAGGGAAAACGGCGGCTTTTGTGTTTTTCTCCCAGAGCTTCAGAAATTAGAACATGAATCATACATTTTCTCTTCCTGCAGAAAAACTTCACCAGTGAATTAAATATTGCTCTCGGCCCTTCCTTCTATGGCCATTTTCTAATCATTTCTCTTCCCCTTACTTCCTTTTTTTATGTTTTCTTTTTTGATGACTTTGATTGTTTTATCCAAGTATAAAATATAAAAAAAAATAGGAAATTAGGGGAAGGAAAAAGGGGGGGGGAAGAAAATACGGGGCGCAAGTGTTGATTTCCAACTCTTTTTAGAACTGTAGAAGGTGAGAGCTGGAAGGGACCTTGGAGGTCTTCTAGTCCAACCCCCTGCTGAAGCAGGAGACCCTGTACATTGCAGATGGGTGGCTGTCCAGTGATAAAGCATCCACGACTTCTGGTGGCAAGCTGTTCCACTGGTTAATTGGCCTCACAGTCAGGAAATTCCTCCTTAATTCCAGGTTGCTTCTATCCTTGATTAGCCTCCATCCGTTGTTTCTTGTCGTGCCTTCTGGTGCTTTGGAAAATAAGTTGACCCCCCTCTTTTTTGTGGCAGCCCCTCAAATACCGGAAGACTGCTATCATGTCCCCCCTATTCCTTCTTTTCTCTAAACTAGCCAAACCCAGTTCTGCAACTGTAGAATAACAGGGTTATTCTAAACATAGAATAACAGGATTGGAAGGGACCTTGGAGGTCATCTTGTCCAACCCCCTGCTCAAGCAGGTGACCCTAAACCATTCTGGACAAATGGCTGTCCAGTCTCTTCTTAAAAACCTCCAGTGATGGAGCAAGCTTCTGGTGGCAAGCAGTTCCACTGATTAATTGTTCTGACTGTCAGGAAGTTTCTCCTTCATTCCAGGTTGCTTCTCTCCTTGATTAGCCTCCATCCATTGTTTCTTGTCCTGCCTTCTGGTGCTTTGGAAAATAAGTTGACCTCCCTCTCTTCTTTGTGGCAAATACTGGAATTGTCCCAGAAATGTACAGATTGCCAAATTATGTGAGGGCAGGTTTATGCCTCGACTTAAGGCCATAATTGGGACCATAATTTCCACTGTTAAGCAAGGCAGTTGTGAAGTAAATTGTGCCCGATTTTACAACAAATGTCTCCCTTAACAACAGAAACGTTTACCTCAGTTGTGACGGTAATTCAGGGACTGGCTGTACTAAGGTAAGATACGAAGCTGTTTGGCTTTGGCTTAGCCCAGGGGAGGCAACCTTGACCCCTTTTATGACTCATGGACTTCAACTCCCAGAATTCCTGAGCCAGCATGGGGGAACTATGGCCCCTTCATGACTCGTGGACTTCAACTCCCAGAATTCCTGAGCCGGCATGGCTCAGCTTGGAATCCTCTCCCTTTCCCCTCAGCATGGCTGGCTCAGGAATTCTGGGAGTTGAAGTCCACGAGTCATAAAAGAGCCAAGGTTGCCTACCCCTGCCCTAGGTCTAGGCCGCTTTATGACTTGTGGACTTCAACTCCCAGAATTCCTGAGCCAGCCATGCTGAGGGCAAAGGGAGAGGTTTCCAAGCTGAGCCATGCTGGCTCAGGAATTCTGGGAGTTGAAGTCCACGAATCATAAAAGGGCCAAGTTTGAAGACCCCTGGTTTAAATATTTAAATATTTTTCCTCATGGTCACCTGATCAAAATTCAGGCATTTGGGCAAGGGTAGGCAACCTTGGCTCTTTTATGACTTGTGGACTTCAACTCCCAGAATTCCTGAGCCAGCCATGCTGAGGGGAAAGAAAGGTTTCCAAGCTGAGCCATGCTGGTTCAGGAATTCTGGAAGTTGAAGTCCACGAGTCATAAAAGAGGCAAGGTTGCCTACCCCTGGCTTAGCCTCCTGGTTTACTAACCATGATTGATGGCTTCGTGTATACTGGTTTGTGAAGCAGCTTGAACTGTTGGTGTGAATCTCTTTGCAGGTCTCCCTGGAGTACAACCCAGGATGGGCCAGCTCAGCGGTGAACCTCTTGCACAGCCGGGCGGTGGGCCTCAACGATACGCTTCACTATGTCTGGAGCACCATCGGGGCCCCCACAGTGTTGTTGGTGTACACCGCAAGCGACAACAGTTCCCTTCGCGTCAACTGGACCCAGCTCCTGTCCTCTTCTCCAGCGGGAGCCATCTGGGTCGAACCGGCTGAGAGTGTCTTGTATTCCACCGCCGTGGTCTTTCCCAGGGTGGGTCCTTGGGGGGGGGAACTGAAGGATGGGGGGAGCCAGGCAAGGGGATGCAGGCAGTCCTCAAATTACGACTCTACATTTAGTTACAGTGGCACTCCAAAGAGTGACTTGCCACTTGTCCTCGCAGTTATGACCATTGCAGCATCCCTGCGGTCACGTGATCAAAATTCAGACACTCGGCGGCTGGCATGGACAGCCAGTCCCCGGCCTATGACCACAGTTGAGCCCAAACTTTCTGTTGTTAAGTGAGATGTTTGTGAAGTGGTTTTTGCCCTACTTTACGACCTTTCTTGCCTCAGTTGTTAAGCGAATCACTGCAGTTGATAAGTTAGGAACATGGCTGTTAAGTGAATCTGACTCCCCCCCCCCCCCGACTTTCTTGTCAGAAGGTCGACCCTGGGACGCTGTGATCATCATAAATATCAACCAGTTGCCATCCAAATTTTCAATGCTGTTTTAACTTTGGTCACTAAATGAACTGTTGTAAGACGAGGACTACCTGTCTTTACGACGATTGCAGCGTCCTGGGGTCCAGGGATCCCCATTTACATCCTTTCCAGCCAGATTGAAACCGAGCACAGTCAATGGCGGAAGCTGGATTCGCTTAACGACCGCTTGATCATGGAACACAAGTGGTTCACTTAACAGCTGTGGCAAAATAAGCTGACACTCATTTAACAACCAGCTTGCTTAGCAGCGTATATTCTGGTTCCCATTGTGATCATAAGTCTGCCTGTAATTATTTTTTGGCCTCTACACGCAGGGAGGTGAAATGGGAGCTTGACAGGGTGTGCCTCCCCCTGAGTAACTGAAATGGTTTGGCCCCAATGGGGTTACTACAAAAATATTGTTTTTCTCTTTTGATCACACCTCCTGATCAACTGCAAGCACTGAGCTAAACCCCAACTGGCTGTTTTGCAGTTCTAACTCCTTCTGAGCTCCCTCGTCACTTGAGAAACTGGCAAATGGCCGGGTTTGGTTGGCCAAGTTGTGTGAACTCAGCCTGAGATTGCCAAGCAGCCTAAGTGCCTCAAATGGCCAAAGGAGAGGGATGGTGGCTTGCTTCCGACTTAAGATATGTCAGTTCAGGCAAGCTTTTTCAGCTCTGACTGGATGGTTTTCATCCTTTAAGAGAGCTGTTGAGGCCACTTGGAAGTTGATCTGTTTTTCTCAAGGTCGCCTGAGTGGTGCAAATGGGTGTGGAGCCTTCCTGGAACTGCTGAAAGGACTGTGTGTTCCACACCCATTTGCACCACTCAGGCGACCCCGAGGACACAGGTAAACCTCCAAGTGGCCTCAATGACTCTCTAAAAGCATGCAAATGACCAGCTGTCTGCAAGGAGTATAAATCCTCCCATTTCCCACCATCCAGTCAGAGCTGAAGAAGCTTCTTGGATGAGAAGTGAAACATTTTCAAAGAAAAACATAACTGGTCATTTGCCTTCTTTTAGAGAGCCGTTGAGGCCACTTGAAGGTTTACCTGTGTCCTCAAGGTCACCTGAATGTGCAAATGGATGGGGAGCCTTCTTGGAATTGCTGAAAGGACTGTTCCACTCCCATTTTTGCACTACTCAAATGATCCTGAAGATACAGATAAACCTCCAAGTGGCCTCACCGACTCTCTAAAAGGATGCAAATGACCAGCTGTCTGCAAGGAGTATAAATCCCAGTCAGAGCTGAGGAAGCTTCTTGGATGAGAAGAGAAACGTTGTCAAGACTGTTAACATCTTCAAAGAAAGAACAAGTCCAGTTGCCTTGAGAAAAAGGGACAACCAGGATCTGGATGACTGAGAATCTCCATAGACATGTCAGTTCAGACAGTTGTGGCTTGCTGCATAAACCACAGGCACTTTTACTTACTTTGATTGTGAATGTTGCAGCTGTGGGAATATGACCCTACCAACACGTCGGACTTCTCGCAAATCCAGACGGAGCACATCTATGCCAGTTACAACCTGGCCAACTTCAGCTGGGACAGCTTGGAAGGGCAGCTGAATAAAACGGCCCTCAGCGCCGACTTCCAAGGCCGCAAAGGGACCTTCGGGAACGGGAGCATCTCTTTCAAGGTAAATCGGGCTGGTTCAATGTGTGTGTGTGTGATTGTGTATGGGAGAGAGGTTGTCGCCCTTTGAAAATGGCAGTGGGTAAAATTACATATAGTCCTGGACTTCCTAAAGTTCATTCAGTTCAAAGTCACAACGGCACTAAAAAAAACTGACTTATGAGACCGTTTTCCCCACTTAACGGCCGTTGCGGCATCCCCGGGGTCATGTGATCCAAATTCAGATGCTTGGCAACTGGTTCATACTTAACGATGGTCGCAGTGTCCCACAATCATGTGATCCCCTTTTGCGACCCTTCTGACGAGCAAAAACCATGGGGATGCCAGATTCACTTAATAACTGGGTCACTGATAAGTATCAAGTGCAGTGATTCGCTTAACAACTGATGCAAGAAAGGTCACAAAACGGGGCAAAACTAACTTTACAAAGATCTCGCTTAATCACAGAAATGGTCGTATTGAACCTTTCACGGGACACAAGTTTTTGTGTCGAGGTATTGATTTAACAGCTAACCAGCTGATGTAATGCAAGATGTAATGATGGGAATGACTCAGAGGGTCTGTGTCTCTTTAAGAGCCTTCATCTAAATCAGGGGTAGGCAACCTTGGCTCTTTCATGACTTGGAATTCTGGGAGTTGAAGTCCATGAATCATGAAAGAGCCAAGGTTGCCTACTGCTCAAGCTGGCTCAGGAATTCTGGGAGTTGAAGTCCACGAATCATAAAAGAGCCAAGGTTGCCTACCCCTGGTCTAAAGGGAAGGCTCTGCTGATGTGTTCTCTCTCTTCCGTTTCCTGCTGTAATTGGTTTGTTGGATCCTGCTGTATTAGCACGTGCACGTATATTGTTCCTGGTGTATGATATTGTAGATAGTATAAGATAAACCACCATTTAATATAGACCACTGTTTCCTGTGTTTACTCCCGAGTTGTCTCGCGCAAGAAGACTGTGCACGCTCTGACAGTTTTGCACATCCTTAAGCCAAACCCTGATAAGCCAAGGTTAACTCTAACCAGGTTAGCAGGGAGGGAAGGAAGACTGGGGAGACTATGGTCAGTCTCTGCCCCCCCAGGTGACGGCCTACGAGGAGGGCAGCCGCGACGGGCCCCTCCCGCGCCTTCTGCACACCGCCAACAGCTCCAAGGTGGAATTCGCCATCCAGGGTGTGCCCCTCCAGGGGAACCACTCCCGCTTTGCCCTGGAGATCCTGGCAGTCGAGGAAGGGAAGCGGCAGAAGCAACTGCAGTCGGTCCGCTCCATCGATGACGAATACACCCCGACCATTTTCGAGGTACGTCCAGGGAAGCCGCTTTGGGTTCAGTCGACGGCCCCCTCTTGGGTTCTCGGCTATCGTTTGGGCAATGGAGGCATCACCGGCTGGATTCGCACGGGGATCCAGGTTCAGAGGGTCTCCCAGAGGTGCTTTTCCAAAAGGCAACTGGACAGAACCCACCCTGTCCAGAATGGAGGCTTAGCAATGGCGTCGTGTTCCTTTTTTCCTGTCCTCCCAGATGGTGCAGCTGATCTCTGAGCCCCACAACCACAGCCTGGGGTCCAGCTTCCTGCAGTGGAAGATGGCCGCCTACAGCTCTGAAACCCCCACTCGAGAAAACACCGTCCATTGTCAGTACTACCCCCTCCAGATGGTCCGCAACCTCGGTCCTGAGTTCAGGATTCTCCACGCCTACTTTGGGGGGGACCTCGAGCGATCCTGCAGCCTGTCTGCTCTCAATATCTCCTTTGGTAGCGAGGACAACGAAGCGTACAGAGAAAAGAAATACTTGAGCTGGTGAGGATCCATTTTGTGGGGGGGCTGTGGGTCTTGGCCAGAAGCCAAGGGAGGGGTGTCTCCCCCTGGACCACAGGGAACTCCTGCCTATGTGTTGAGCGGCGTCATTTCATAAATTGAGATTCTCTCCCTGCGATGGGGGTCAGCGCTGTTTTTCAGACAGCCCCGTTCTCCCAGTCATATACAGCCAAGGGGACACTTCTTTGCTGCTCAGGATAAATAAAGGTGGTCCTTGACTTACAGCAGTTCGTTTAGTGACCGTACAAAGTTACAAAGTTATAAAACCTCCAGAAAAAGCCCGGTTACTGATCGGGCTCGGCTTAAAACAGTTTGTTTAGGGACCGTTCAAAGTTAATAATGGCACTGAAAAAATGTGGGTCACGTGATCAGAATCCAGACGCTTGGCCACTGACTCGTATTTATGACCGTTGCAGTGTCCCATGGTCACGTGATCCCCTTTTGCGGCCTTCTGAGCAAGCAAAGTCCATGGGGGAACCCGGATTCATCCTATTACTAGTTTAATGACTGCAGTGATTCACTTAATAACGGTGGCAGGAAAGGTCGTAAAATGGGGCAAAGCTCACTTAACAAATGTCTCACTTAGCAATATAAATATTGGGATCGGTGGTGGTCGTAAGTCGAGGGTTACCTGTATTCATTTAGGGATTGTTTGAAGTTACAACAACGCTCCAAAAAGGGACTTGCAACTGCTCTTCCTACTCATAACCAGCACAGCAGCCCCACCGTCAAAATGGCGGCTCTTATCCACCAGCATCTAAGATGGCTGCCACATCCCCATTTGCGACCTTCCCACATGGCTTGAACAAGCAAAGTCAACGGGGGCAAGTCAGATTCGCTTAATGACCACACGGTTCACTTAGCAACGGCAGCGATTCTCTTAACAACTGTGCCATACAAAAGTTCCTCAAATCAGACGCGATGAATTTAATCGTTTTGCTTGGCAACGGAAGCGCTGGTGTTCATTGTGGTCGTAAAACAAGGACTAACTGTACTCAGAAGCATCCAATCCAGTCAGAACTATGTGTAAATAGCCGAAATACAGGTAGTCCTTGACTTACCACCACAACTGAGCCCAAAATTTCTTTTGTTAAATGAGACACTTATTCATGAAGTGAGTTTTGCCCCATTTTACGACCTTTCTTGCTACAGTTGTTAAGTGAATCACTGCAGTTGGTAAGTTTGTCACCCAGTTGTTAAGTGAATCTGGCTTCCCCCATTGACTTTGCTTGTCAGAAGGTCGCAGAAGGGGATCACATGACCTTGGGACACTGCAACGGTCATAAATATGAGACAGTTGCCAAGTGTCCAGATTTTGAGAAAATATTAACTAGTAAGAATGCTTTGAAAACCTGGAAGTTTTTAAGAAGAGACTGGACGGCCATTTGTCTGAAATGGTATAGGGTTTCCTGCCTGAGCAGTGGGTTGGACTAGATGACCTCTAAGGTCCCTTCCAACTTTATTATTATTATTATTATTATTATTATTAAAACAAATTTAAATAAGAATTTTGTAAACAGGATCTATGACAAGGCAATCGAGATGATCAATGAAAAGAAGCTTTATATCAATGTGGTTATGATTTGCAGAAGCATGAGAAAAATATCTATATTTAATTGTCATTTATTTAAATAAGAACTGTATTTAAGGTTGGCAAAAGAGAACATTATTGGAAGAAGAGTAAATCAAGTAAAGCTATTATATGGACTATGCTATTATAGAAATTAATCGTTATTGTTTTTTAAACACTAAACCAGACAACACGCTGTTTACCAAATATTAAGGTGTACCTTAAAAATCAATAAAACATTTTTTTTAAAAAAAAAAAAAGATCGCAAATGGGGATCCCGTGACCCTGGGACATAGCAACGGTCATAAGTATGAGTTAGTTGCCAAGCATTTGAATTTTGATCACGTGATCCTGGGGACGCTACAAAAGTAATTCTGAAAAAGGGCCGTAAATCCCATTTTTCAGTGCCGTCGTCACTTTGAACCGTCACTAAACGGACCCTGCTAAGTCGAGGACTGCCCGTAATGATGTGTTTCCATTGCTTTGTCTCTTCCTTCCAGGTCTGCGCTGGTCGGTTTTGGGGAACCCCCGAGAGAGGAATTCTCTCCGCTGGTCATCGGGATCCTGGCCGTGGCGCTGGGAACGCCGGCGATGCTCCTAATCGCGGGGAGCCTGGTGGTGCTGACAAGGAAGCGGAAGCCGTGTTCGGAGTACAAACCAATCAACTGACGGGCAGGAGAAGCCCCAAATGGCCGCTTCTCCGAGGCGTCCATTTACGGACAGACCGAGGAGTTTCCTTGGGGATTATTGCAAAGAGGCCGGTCTCAGCTGCCCCTGTGGGGTAGGATTTATTTATTGCTTTGCCCTAAAGGGGGCAAAATTCGTCTCAAGAATCAGGGTGCTGAAGACGGACAGGTTCTCCGGGGTTCATTCATCGCTTCTGTCGCTTTGAAAAGCGGGTGTTGTGGGTTCCTCGGATGGCGACCTCATTGGGACCTGCAATTTTAAGCAGGAAGAGGAACAGTTGAGTGGCTGGGAGGGAGGGTCTCTCTCAAAGGGTCTCTTCCCACCACACCCCCTCACAATGCCTGGAGCACAGTTCTCAAACGTGGGGACATTTTGGTTTTACAGACCTAAGTTCGCCAGGGCGCTGCATTTTTCTAAAAGGAACTGATGGAAGGGTGGGGGTGATCTTTGCTTTTCTTCAGCCTCAGAGCAGGGTTCCTGCTGCTGGTTCTGCACAAAGCCCTGAGTTTTTGCCAAAATGACAAAGTGGGCCTTTGTTGGCCATCTTATCCCTTTCCGAGAGAAACTAGTGTGTTTGGGCAGGTTTACCTTCCTCCTTTGCTAATTCTGTTTTTTCTTCCCAAACCCAAAGACCCAGAAAGTTGAACTCTGTTTTCAATCATCACATGGACCTTTCCAGTTACGAAGAAAATTCCTTCCTTCCTTCCTTCCTCTCCAATTCTCCTTTCCTTCTCCCCCTTTCCCCTTTGCCTCCTTCCTTCCTCCCTCCCTCCCTCCCTTCTTTCCTTCCTCCCTTCCCCTGTTCCTTCCCCATTTTTATTTCTCCATTTCCTTCCTTTCTTCTCTGCCTTTATTTCCTTCCTTCCTTCCCCTCCAATTCTCCTTTCCTTCTCACTCCCTTTCCTTCTCACTCTCTTCCTTCCCCTCCAATTCTCCTTTCCTTCTCACTCACTCCCTCTCTCCCTCCCTTCTTTCCTTCCTTCCTCCTTTCCCCTATTCCTTCCTTCCCCATTTTTCTTCCTCCATTTCCTTCCTTTCTTCTCTGCCTTTATTTCCTTCCTACCTTCCTTCCCCTCCAATTCTCCTTTCCTTCTCACTCCCTTCCTGTCTCCCCTTTGCCTTCCTTCCTTCCCTCCCTCCCTCCCTATTATTTCTCCCTCCATTTCCTTCCTTTCTTCTCTGCCCTTCCTTCCTTCCTGCCTGCCTGCCTTCCTTCCTTCCTCCCTCTCTCTGCAGGGGACTTATAGTCATTCCTTTAATTTTCTTTAAAAGCCATGTCCTTCAGATGGTTCTCAGTATTATGCCTATTAAAGCCACAGAAGACCAGCTGGGGGAAGTAGTTGGAAGGCTCTTTAAAAAAAGGTGTGGACCTGGATCAACCACTAATTGCGTTTACACGCCGCTGTTCAGAAAACAACGCCAGACAAAATTGCACTCTGGAGTCAAATGCACACTGGAAAAAAAAATGGATCTGGGAAAATGAAACTAATGGGAGCCCTGGGCTTGCAGAATAAATCTGCCTACCTGGTACGCTGCAGAGATTGGGCCAAGACGGAAAAATTATTATTATTTTGAAAAAAAAAGAAACCTCTTTGAAAAGTTATCCAAGCCAACTCTTGGCAAGTTTCTGGAGCAAGCCTGCCTCTCCTTTTGGGATTCCAGATGTTGGGACGGGAGTTCCCAGCCTTCTTAGCATGTTGGCTAGGAATGCTGGGAGTTGAAGTCTCCAGCCTTAAAGGGCTCTCCATGTTGGGGAAAGCCTAGGTGAGATCAAGTCTAAATCAAAGTGGAGAAGGGAGGCCAGGAAAGCTGCAGAGCTTGCGAAGCACTTCTAGGACCTGCCTGCCCCCTTCATTTTTTTCTGGGGTCTTCTCTGCTTTGGGGTGGGGGACCAACATCCTTGCTGGGAGTGTTTGGCTTCATTGGGCAGCTGTGAGGGTGCAGCTGTTCTAGCATAGGCCACAAAGGGCGTTTCTCAACGTTGGCCCCTTTAAAAGGTGTGGTCTTCCAACAAACTGCGGGAATGCTGGGAGTTGAAGTCCACATCTCTTAAAAGGGGCCAAGGTTGAGAAGTACTGCATTGTGGGGGATTTCTTCTAGACTGGGAGCCTTGTGGGCCACTTACTGCTGCTTTGTCTTTCGGGGGCCAATTAAAAGGGAGATTTTGCAACATAGCTTGTTTGTGGTGGTCATCTGTTCGAATCCAGTTTCGGTCTCAGCAGGTCTCCTTAACAGGCTATTCTCCGTTATCCAGGTCATAGCTGTCCCAAAAGGTGCTTTTTCCCCTTTGATTTAAGCCCCCAAAGGCAGAAGCTTGTGCACCCCAAGGATAAAACACCCAGGCACAAACTGAACGATGTGATATATGCTGTACAATGCAGTGAGACCTGTTTTAGGTCTGTACTTTGGAGAAACAAGAACCTCCTTCACAAACACAACACAGGAGGACAAACCGATCAGGAATCGGATTCAGCATTACAAAGACGAAGACTGTGTAAGGACCCGCCTCACTTTACATCTTAAGAATACAGAACACTTGGAATATCTTTTCCAAGAGGCATCTTTATTAAGAAGAAATGATTGTAGGCGTGCTAGGCAGGATCTGAGGAATTCTCTCCCACCCTTCAATGGTTTAAGTGTTTTCAAGCACTCCATAGTTCTTCCGGGCAACGATCCTTCCCTCTTTTCCCAGACTCCAGGCGCTGCATTGTCCCCCCCCCCTCTTTTCCCTTACTGCCGGTCAAAGGGAGACTTCAGAGAGTAGAAGATGAAAGGTGATGGCCATATTGTTATAGACAGTGGATGGATGGATGGATGGATATAGAGCAGCAGTTCCCAACCTGTGGGTCGGGACCCCATTTGGGGTCGAAGGACCATTTCACGGGGGTCGCCAAACAACGCAGTCCGCCATGTTTTTCCCCCTTTTCCTTAGCTGTGCTACTCCCTTTTATTCTATTGGCTTTTGAAAGCCAATAGAAGAGACTCTCTTGAATAGAGTCTAATTCTATTGGCTTTCAAAAGCCAATAGGAATTGTCCAGGCTGTCTCTGCCCTGCTTAGCCCGCCAAAAGTCCCATTCTGCAAACGGTGCTGCAAGTTGTCTGCAGCGAAGGCGAGCTGTCTGGAAGCTTCCACCCCTCCCTGCTGAGCAACTACTAAAAATGCAAGTAAAAGAGGGCCAGGGGTGGGAGGTGGGAGGCCGGCGGGCGCAGGGAGGGTTGCTGGCGCGCGTGGGGCCCGGCGGGTGCCTTACCTCCTTTGGGCTGGGCCAGCTGGTGGCCCAGCCAGTGGTCGGCCTGCACCGTCTCTGCCGCTTGCCAGCTACACCTTGGCTGGCGCAGGGGGCGGCACCACGCATGCGTGGCGCTCCTGGGCAGGGAAAGTCCTCGACTTACGACCAGTTGAGTAGTCATTGACTTACGACCGGTTGGGGGTCGCGGCATTAAAAAGGTTGAGAACCACTGAGAGAGAGAGAGATTTTATGAAAACGAAAAGTGCAAAAAGAATTTCATTGGAGGCTTATTTTGATAGGACAATTTCTGAATACATCACCAAACCTCAACTCCTCGGAAAAGAAGATCCTCAGAGACTTTGGCCAAGAGCAGGAGCGCACGGTGCTCCAAACCTTGGAAGTAGTTTCAGATACTTTAATGTCACATCTTCCAAGCGTAGCCCAGCTGCAGCAGTTTGTACAATTCAAATCATAATACAGTTCTAAAGATACAATACATAAAAGCATCATCCAATATTTTAAGGATGATAAAAAGTCACATAATCATAAACATTGCAAAAAGCAACCATACAATACCATGATGGTCCGCTAATTTAAAATGACATTTTTGATATATAAAAAAAAAGGTGAGGTGTAAAAATAACCACAGTTGACATCGAAAGAAAACACAACTTCAGTGTTCAAATACATGAATATCACAACAGGTATCTCTTGGTGAAGAGATGGTGATAAGAAAGGATACATAAAAACAGGCAAAAGACAAAATACTTTGTCTACCATAAGCATCACAACTAGTTAACAACAGTAAATCAGGAGTAAAACTCAGTTGTATTACAAAAATACATGTCAAACAGAACATTACCAAGCGGGAATCCCATTGAGAGATATTTCAGGAACAAAAAGACAAATGTGTGTGACAAATCAAAATTCTTGAGGTGACCGCCACATAAGTGTGTGTCATGATTAACATTTATCAGTCAAAATATAACTTACACATTTTAAACAACAGCAGAGGATAAAATTATTCCAAATAGAAATCTTTTATCAATCACAGGCCACACCAGACATTAAAAAGAGCTGTTGAGGTTTTCTTTCTGGTTCTAAGAACCATCATCGTGGCTAAATTTACGCCAGGGAGAAAACTATAAAATCTATTATCCATCACCGGCACACCCAGCATTAAAAAGATGTTTCTGGTTCTGAGAACCAACATCGTGCCTAAATTAAGCCAGGCAAGAAATCTACTCGGGGTTTCATTGGCCACATCTAGAATTTAAAAGGGTCACACAGATTTATTTTCCAGTTCAAGGACATAATGTCTCATCCTAGCAAAAAACTAGTAATTTATTGAGATGGCAATACCTGGTATTAAAGTGTGTCACCAGGTTTACTTTTGGTTGTAAGAGGGTGTGCTCAGAGACCGAAGGAGCCTGGGAGCTGACTGGCTGCCTACTCATTCAGGGTGAGTTTCACAGAGTAGTAACTCAGGGGCTGGAAGACCCCCATCAGGAGTGCCTTGGCATCACCTCTGTGAGTCAGGATGGCCTCAGCAGCATGCAGCCTTTCGCCCAAGAAATGCACCCCATCAACTCACCCGTGCTCACGCCACAGGGGTTCCCCTCCAATATGAGGGTCAGTTGGGGATCCTCAGGGGCCGTGAGAGGCTTCCAGCGGGGGGCTGTAGTCTCCTCCAGTGTGATTCGCCCTGGCTGCTCCCTTAGGGACTGAAAGGGTCGCCAGGGGTGACCCCAGAAAGTCTTCCAGTGTGAGCCTCACAGTGTCTGCTCAGGGACCGAAGGAGCCTGGGGGGCGACTGTCCACCTTCTCCTTCAGGGTGAGTGTCAGGGTGGTAACTCAGGGACTGAAAGGCCCCCATCAGGAAGGGAATGGGAGGTTTAGGCCTGGACCCTTGGCCACGCCTCCTTTGCCCCCTGCCACTCCCCTCAACCCACTTACAGCCAGCTTTCCTCCTCCGCTGCCCTCCCGCAGCCATTCTCCCTCGGCCCTCTGCCCATCGCCCTTCAGTCCGGCCACTCCCCCAGACCCCTTTTGTCCCGGGTCTTTGGCTGTAGGGGAAAAAGAGCCCCCAGCCCATCGGGTGGCAGGCAGGAGCCAGGGGACTGCGGGGGGGGGGCAGTGTCTGATGGGCAATCCCAGGGGCTGGGGGGGGGCAGCTGTGATGCAAGAATCATGAGAATCTGAAGGAGGAGGAGTGGCAGCAGGAGTAGCAGCCACAGGTACCACTGGGAGTCAGGCAAGAGTATGTTGGAGGGGGGACGAGGGAGGGAGGGAGGGGCGCCACAAGGGGACTTCACAAAGACAGCTTGACTTGCAACTCAAACGAAAGAGGAGAAGCAAGGCCGGAGCAGCTTCTGCCATTGCCAGGCGGGACTGGGGGGGGCACACAGGCAAACAGCAGGGCCCCGCTTCCCTCCCACGACGGCGCACGCAGTCCCATCATCCCCAGCCCTTGCCATTTGCCCACCCTTCCCTCCCAAGACGGCGCACGCAGTCCCATCATCCCCAGCCCTTGCCATTTGCCCGCCCTTCCCTCCCACGACGGCGCACGCAGT